ATTGTTCACCAGGCGCTAACATCTTGCATTTCCGCTAAATGTAGCGCAAATTTGTTTACATCTGCAGTGCACATAACATAACCTAAACTTAATTATTAACCTCGAGAGAAGACGAAAATGTTTCCGCAATAGTCTCACTTTATACTATAACAAAGGAGTTAAAATTTAACTTTATGCTATAACAAAGAAGTTGAAAATATCTTTATACTATAACAAAATTAACTTTATACTCTATGCTATATTACACTTTATACTATAACAAGGTTAACTTTATGGCCCGTACTTTTAAAACCTTTTGCTTTTTCTCGCGTTTTTTTTTTTTTTCATTCGCCGAAGCGCTAGATTTATCAGGAATCCAAGATGTTAGCGCCTGGCGATCCTTTTCGTTCGCCAGGCCTGGCGAACACCTGCCTTAGTTTAAAAGTAAGGCCTCCCTCACTCAGATGTTCGCCTGGCGAACGCCAGCATTGGCGAAAGGTTTTAAAAGTACTTTATACTATACTATATCAACCTTATACTTTTATACAAAAAATAACTTTATACTTTAACAAGAGTTTAAAAATTACTATTTTACTATTCCTAACTGATGTAAGATATTGAACTGTAGGCCTACAAGGGTATCATTAAAGACGCCTCATTATAGGGCGGTGGAGCACTACAGCTCTGTTTCTATAGCCAAACGTAAACATGCCGCCATAAAAAACACTTCTGATAACATTTGTGAATAGAACATTATCCTTACAACCAAAATAACAACAACCTAAATCTAAATAAGTCATCTCGGGGGTGGGGGATAGGGGTAGGGGGTAGGAATACAGCTGATGTCTTGAGCTCTCGACTGGAACATCGAAGGTCTTGAAAAAAAAATACGTATATACGTTATTTCATAACAAATTATGATTTTAAGATATTTTATAATTTCAATGTGATTCCTACATCCTATCATACACAAATATGTTACTAATTTATAATTTGAAAGCAAGAAAATGGTATTCAAACAGCTCTCTTCGCCAGGCTGTTCCAATATGATCTTTCGCCAGCCCTGGCGAACGTTCGCCAGGCATGTTTTTAAAAGTACGAAATTCCGGATCGCCCGGCGAAACCCTTCGCCAGCGAAAGGTTTTAAAAGTACGGGCCTAAGACGCTGACGAAGGTGTGGGATATAAAGGTAGATAGAGAGAGAAAAAGAGACAGAGACAGATAGGTAGATAGAGAGAGAGAGAGAGATACAGAGACGGAGAAAAATATATGGAAATAGATAGAGAAAGAGAGAGAGACCGAGCGAGAGAAAGACAGAGACCGAGAGGCACGCTCGCACGACCCAGGTACTCTCTCTCTCCTAATCCATGGGTTGATATTCCTAAGCAGGGGTGTTCTAGCAGTAAGCCAGAGATCCTATGCGGAAGAATGCTTGCTTAGGATAGCCCTTGATGCATGTATGTAGAGAGAGGTCGTTGTCGAGCTTTAACCTTACTTATGATTACCTTTGGGTTTTGCGGTGACGAACGGAGACTCGTAGCAGAACTTGTGTAATGTGTACACGAGTAGTATATGAAAGCTTTGTTACAGTTTCGTCATTTATGTGTATGTCTGTTACTTTATTTAATATCAATGTGATCGTTTTATATTCTCTTTGTGTATGTTATTGCTTTAGCAAGTTGTGCCCAGGTTCCTTTTGATTTTCCTCACGAGGAGTGTAAATTTTTAAACTTTCGATGTACAGA